ATATTATCGACCACCATGACTACTCACGTGGGTCAAAAATATTCTCGGGATAAACTCGTCTGAGTGTAGCATAACGTGACAACTATTTCAGGACTACTCCCTTGTAGTTTCCGCACTACGTCCTAAAAAGGCTTAGTGGGGTAACAATGTTACTAAATGTCCTCAGTTTCACGGACTCTCAGGTTGAAACAATTAATGAAATGCATGACTACTCATACATCATTAATCATCTCAAGGAGGTTTCAACTGAGCGTGATTACATCATATGTCAAACTTGTTAGGACTACTCCCAACAATCAACTATTGATCATATCACATCCTATCATATGTGTCACTCAAGTCCGGGTTAGGACTTATCTCACAACTCATGATACCCAATGTTCATAACAATACAAATATATTCACAAATATACATGTAAGCAAGTATTCATACAATTACACAAAATAGGTTAAACCCTCAAGTTAAGCTTCCCCAGTGAATTCTCCATTTCTGTTGCGGTGAGAATCGTGATGTCAAGCTATTAGTTAACTTAAATCTTAATTCATTAAATTCACAACCGGAATTTGATTTATCCAAAGGAAAAGTTAAAGAAAAAAAACCTTTTGTGCAATGTAACAACAACGCTAAGAGATTCGGGGATCGAGAGTTGGTTATGCCTAGGATAGTTCTCACATCCTAAACATCTGTAGTACTCTACAGGAACCTTTTGTATGTGTGCATGATAAGCTTGCTAATAGTTATGCTATGGATTGGTATTAGGGTTAAAGTAAGGACCTAAGGATACCTTCTAAGTTTGCTCGCAAATATATCACATCTTCTGCCTACGTATCCTAACTAGGATAGAATCAGAGCAATCATAGTTCACCTCACTAGGGGTGGATGAACACATGAAGGATTGAAACTCAGTCAAATCTTAACCAAATGAGGTGAAACAAAATTTAAAATTGTGTATTTTTTAACAAGGAGTTCAATGGTACCATTTGTTTTTCCATACCATACACCCACAAGAAAACCTGATAGCATATGTGTTTGGGCAAGTTTGGTGACAATCAAAAGTATGAACATGTGAACAACATTGTGTAGTTGTGTGCTTGATGAAAAAAGTGTACAAACATCACATATACATCATATATAAGGGTTATCACAAAAGAAATCAAGAAATGCACACATGGTTTGACAGATTGGATGCATCATGTCAAAAGTGACTAGGTTGGGCCTAGTTTGTGACCTGTCCAAAAGTTACAAGTTTTGCTGCAAAAGATGGTTCATATATGACACATAACATAAAAAAACATGTTAAAACAATGTACAACACCAAATCATAGCTAGAACTCAAGATAGCATGTGAAATGCAAGTGAAAATTTCATGTTTTTGAGTTTTAGGCTTACCTCTTGAAGCAAGCTTGGGCAATAAGAAAACTAGAGACTTTGAGTGCTCTTCCAAGTTCTACAAATGCTCCAAGGATGATGAATGAGTTCTCCAAATGAAATCCAAGCAAGTTGGTGGGCAGAATGCCTTGTAAGTGAAGAAAAACCTTCAAAATCCAATGATTTTCAAAGCTAACTCCTTCAATCCTTGTTACAGAAGTGTGGAACCACCATGGACAACTTCTATATGTCAAATATGAAGTGTTATAGGTCCCAAGGCACAAGGAAATGCAATAGGCCAGTGGTTCCCCTTCAAAATGCAGAAAAGTCAATAAATGAGCTTTTGAGGGTTGACTTTTTGATTGGATGAGTTTCTGGCCAAGGTGATGGTTTAGACAGCTCTAATGCATCATTTGTAAAGTGTTTGAAGCTTTTTTTGAGTTTGAAAGTGTTTGGAAATGATCTTGGACAGAAAAATGCAAAACATATTTTGTGGTGTTTTGAAAATGTGGTTCAAGCTTGCAAGAACTTTGTGATTGAGTGGGAGGAAGAGTTGCAGCTGGTTTTTAGCATGTAACTGGTGTGTCTTGGATGTAGTAAGGAGGTTCAATTTATAGGTAAGGCCTTGGATCAATAGGTATGGGCAGAATGGTGTAAAATGCCAAGTTTAGCCTTTGTAACTTTGAAAATCTTGGAGTTTTCCAATGCAATCTCCATTTCTGACCTTGATCCACTCTAACAAGATGTTCTTCATACCCTATAGGTCATTTTCATCATGCTTGAGGGGAAAGTGACTGGTTGTAGCCAAGTTGGTGGTTTGATGATGGTAGCCACCATTTTTCTCTTTCCACACTATTCACTTTTGCAACTTGCATTAAACAATGATTTTTTTTCATTTCTCATGCCAATTTTGTGGGAGTTGATGCTAAACATGTTAAAAAACAATTTAAACATCAGAAATGAAGCTTAAACCTTGATTAGAGATGATTTGGGAAGCTTTGGAATCAAGTCACTCATGCTAAGTTGGTTTTGCAAAGGTGAGTTTTTGCCAACTTATGGACCTTGGCTCTCTCTAACCATGAAGAGTTATGGAATCCACATGTACTTTTTAGAAATATCTCATTAGGTAATACAAATTTGATGTTGGATATAGGAACCCATTCCTCTTGAAACTAGGTCAAAACCCCTTGTGAAAATGTTGAAAACTTGATTTACAAGTCAAGAAATCTTGAAATTTCTAAGCGTATTTTCCCCCTCTTGCCTTATTTTTGCTCATAACTCAAAATTCATGCATTTTATGCTAATAAGTGACCACTTTTGAAGAACTCATTGAGACCTTTCCAAAAAGCTTTGAACCACTCCATTTGAATGTGTGGTTAAGAAGTTATGGCTTGGTCCTTTTTAAAACCCTAATTTCCCGACTTTTCGATTACTTCTCAATTCTTGAGCAATTGGTCACCAAACTTCATGATTATATGTCAAATGATGTTGGGAACATAGTTGGCTTCAAATTTGGGTTAAAACCTTGTTGGTCAATGGGTTGACTTTTTAGTCAGACGAACCGAACGATCGAAAAACCCTTAAATCGAATGTTGGTGTTCTGGGCTCTCTGAGGCCTTGAAACTTCTTAGGTAGACTTCCTTGAGTCATATGAGCCTCATGGACCATGAGTCAATCTTTGGAACACCATTTAGGTCAAAATTCAAACTACAGTTGACTTTTCCAATCAAAAACCCTAATTAGGATTTTTGTGCTGCATTTTTGTTCTTCCTTGGGTGACGACCCTAAATTGGATTCATTCTTGATGCAATGGGATACCTTGATGATATGGAGACTTGATATGTGGAAGATCAATCCAAAACTTTGACTGATCAACCCCTTGAAACCCTGATTTCTGATTGTGTGAAACCCTAATTCACCTATATCTTGACAAAGATCAAACTTGAAATAGGTTAAGGTTAGATAAAAAATGTTGATGCTCCTAGAATGATGATGTGATCTAGGGGTCAAAATTTTGGGTATAACATCCACACCAAACATAGGCTCAGAGTTGACAGTACGTGCAAACTTGTTGAAAGCACCATCCTCTTTCAAAACCTCATTATTAAATGCACAATTTGCCTCGATACCCGAGCTTACTTGGGTAACCTTCCTACCGTCCTCATCGCCTTCCTCCTGGTAATCCGAATGAAGATCCAACCACCCTTCTTCAAAGTCAGAAGAGGAAGATCCCACTCCAGAAAAATCTTTCACATTCTTGGATAAGTTTAGGCGCAAAGGGCCATAAGAGTCTTCAGACAACTTAATCGTGTAAATGAATCCATTAATCTTAATCTTCACAAGTTTATTAATTACTGGCGAACAAAATGTTCTTACCATAAATCTAGCGAGATCAATATTGCTGGCCTTCAGCAAAAGTTCACCAGAACAAACATATTCTCCCACCTTATTGGGTAGAAGAACAAAGATATCGATACCCCAAGCATGAGAAGGAATTCCATGGGCTCTGATCCACATAACTCTCTCCTTATCAACATCGTCCTCCCTCCAAGCTCTAATGTTCGAAAACCATTGTCCCCACCAGCTTTTCCCTCCTTCACTAGGTCCATTATGGCCCCTCTCCTCTATCTCTTCCAACAAACAAATATTAGCCCCTAAGAGTGTAACTTTGATCGAGAAAAATCCTTCCATTTAAAAACAAGTCTGAATGTTATATGCCATTCTTGAGTTGATAACCTCTCCTACATACGCCTTTTAAATTTGCTTAGCACATCTTCCTTGAATTCGAAATTTAGCAAATAATCAAAATGTGGTACTTCCGGCTTGACGCTTTGATCAACCTCTTTACCCACTATCTCAGCAAAGGATCTAAACCCAAATTTTCCTTCATTAATCCTACCCATCCATCTTCTATTCTCCACATTTCCAACATTTCCAACTTGATGTCACTTGCCATTAGCCTTCCCCGTATCTTCTTGCTGATTCTCCTCGACCCTTCTGAAACGAGGAGGATTTGCATGTATCTTCTTGCCATGAATGATAATATTGTCTAACTTTATAGCCAAAAGTCTAATATCATCCACATCCTTAAATCTCGCAAAACCAAATCTCTTCCCAATCTTGTTGCGTTTAGGTGGGTGGAATCACGACCTCAACCGTATCACCTATGCAACCAAACAATTCGAAAGCATCTCCCGCTTAATCCTATCCAAGATTTCAAAAAAATAAACGGAAGCTGGCGGAATTTTCTCCCCAACCTTCAATCTAAAATCAGCTGGAAAACATCCCACTAGTTGGGAGATGTCTAAAAACCTTCTTAGCAGTCTTGTGCCACATTATTTTACTTTTGATAATACATGATTCTAATCCTTTATTTACGTATTCCTCTTACGGATTAGCAAAATTGTTCTCCACCTTTTTAAGTTGTACTGGTTTTGTTTGATTTGATGAAATTGTTCTCCACCTTTTTCTCTTGTATTGGTTTTGTTTAATTTGATGAAATTGTTCTCCACCTTTTTCTATATATGCGGATATTCTTTTCTTTTTCGCTTTCATTCCACTACTTTTTCTAAACTCGGATTGAACGACGTAAACATCATCGTATACTAAAACAAAACAAAAACTAATATTTATGGCCAGGTTTAGATTACCTCGTACCAGCTTCTATTTTGTAACTGCGCCCGCCATTTTTGAAAACCCAGTTTCTTCCTTCTCCTCGATTTCCTTCAATACCCATTCGCAAAATGACAACTTTTCGGATACCAAACAGCAATTTGCCAAACTGTGTTCCAAAGGGTGCGTAAAAGAAGCCTTCGAGAGCTTCGTGTATGAGTTATGGGAAGAGCCTCGTTTGTTCTCTACTCTCCTTCAATCATGCATTTCTACAAACTCTGTATTTTTAGGAAAACAGCTTCATTCTTTGATATTCACTTCTGGGTGTTCCTCAGACAAGTTCATTAACAATCACGTTCTTAACCTCTACTCAAAATTTGGGGAACTTCATGCTGCTGTTAAGCTGTTTGAGAGGATGCCGAGGAGGAATATTATGTCGTGTAATATCATGATCAAGGCTTATCTTGAAACGGGCGACCACGCGAATGCTCGTAAGCTGTTTGATGAAATGCCTGAGAGAAATGTTGCCACGTGGAATGCGATGGTCACTGGGTTGATCAAGTTTGGAGCAAATGAAGAGTCTTTGTTGTTGTTTTCGAAGATGAATGTGTTGGGTTTTGTGCCGGATGAGTATTCGTTTGGGAGCGTGCTTAGAGGATGTGCGCATTTGAGAGCTTTGGTTGGAGGGCAGCAGGTTCATGCTTATGTTGTGAAATGCGGGTTTGAGTTTAATTCGGTTGTTGGATGCTCTTTGGCTCATATGTATATGAAAGCTGGAAGCTTGCATGATGGGGAGAGAATTATCAAATGGATGCCAAATTGTAATTTGGTTGCTTGGAATACACTTATGGCTGGAAAAGCTCAAAATAGGTACTTTGAGGGTGTTCTGGATCATTACCGAATGATGAAAATGGCTGGATTTAGACCAGATAAGATTAGTTTTGTGAGTGTGATCAGTTCATGTTCTGAGTTAGCCACCCTTTGTCAAGGGAAGCAGATTCATGCTGAAGTAATCAAAGCCGGGGCTAGCTCTGTAGTTTCCGTAATTAGTTCATTGGTTAGTATGTACTCTAAATGTGGAAGTTTGCAAGATTCCATCAAAGCTTTTTCCGAATGCGAAGAGCGAGATGTTGTATTATGGAGTTCAATGATTGCTGCTTATGGGTTTCATGGTCAAGGGGAAAGAGCCATCAAGCTATTCAATGATATGGAGCGGGAGAATTTGGCGGGAAATGAAGTTACTTTCTTGAGTTTGCTATATGCTTGTAGTCATTGTGGACTGAAGGATAAAGGACTTGGTTTCTTTGACATGATGATACAGAAGTATGGACTCAAGGCTAGACTAGAACACTATACTTGTGTGGTTGACCTACTAGGCAGGTCTGGTTGTTTAGACGAGGCAGAGGCTATGATACGATCCCTGCCCGTAACAGCAGATGCAATCATATGGAAAACATTATTATCTGCATGTAAAATCCACAAGAATGAAGAAATGGCGAGAAGGGTTGCTGAAGAAGTTCTTAGGATTGATCCTCAAGACTCAGCTTCATATGTTCTACTTGCTGGTATTCATGCTTCAGCCAAGAGGTGGCAGAATGTTTCTGAGGTGAGGAGAGCCATGAAAGACAAGATGCTGAAGAAAGAGCCAGGAATAAGTTGGGTGGAAGTGAAGAATCAGGTTCACCAGTTCAGGATGGGTGATGAAAGCCATCCAAAGTCTATGGAGATTAATCAGTATCTTGAAGAATTAACTTCAGAAATGAAGATGCGGGGCTATGTGCCTGATATTAGCTCTGTCTTACATGACATGGACAATGAGGAAAAAGAATACAACTTGACACACCACAGCGAGAAAATAGCTATTGCTTTTGCTTTATTGAGCACCCCAAAGGGAGAGCCAATTCGAGTGATGAAAAACTTGCGAGTTTGCGGTGACTGTCATGTTGCCATCAAGTACATATCAGAAATAAAAAACTCAGAAATTATTGTTCGAGATTCTAGCAGGTTTCACCATTTCAAAAATGGGGTATGTTCTTGTGGAGATTATTGGTAATTATTTGTTCCTTAATTTCCATTTTGGCAGCGATTGCAAGTAAGAGTTACTATGACCCTTTTACAGTAACAGTTTAGGCTTTCATATTAAAATTTGCTTCTCATTAATTGTTCTTGCCAAAATTTGGAAGGACTCAATTCAGCACAAATTCAGAACGAATACTCATTAATTGGTGCTCTGTCTAATACCTTTGATGGGCCCAAGACAGCTTGATTGCCTTCACAAGCAAAGTAGTGGTAGGGTACCTGCAATGACTTTGACGATCAAGTCACTTATTGATATTCCCACTGTGTGTTCTCATATAATGGGTGAGTGAGAGGTTACTAGATAACCGCATAGGAAGCATGTTTGTGGTGAATGGATTTGTGCCCCATATTTTGGTAGTAATTGAGAAGGGAGTATGACCACCCAAAAACGTACAAGATGTGGACTCCACTAGTTCATGACAGAACATTAGGATATACGGTCGATCTACATTCCATGAAAAGATCATTAGTTGCGAAAACTAAAAATTTGATGAAGGAACATGAATTATAGAAAAGTGACATTCTTATTCTTGTCCTTGTTGGCATCTGCATGCTGATTGGAGATGGAATTATTACCCCAGCTATATCAGGCATGCCTTCTCTCTGAGGCTCACTTATTGTTCCCATTTTAAAATTTTTATGAATGTCGATTTGCTAGCTGTTCAACAAAATAAGTTTATCTACCAAAGTATATGCTTCTGAATATTATCATGCAAGCACATTTGTGTAGATTTACCGAACTGTGAAAGCAAATGGCAAAACCATTTACGGGATGAGTAAACGAGCAAAATGTTGTGGATACAACTGGTTGGAAGGAAGGATTTTAAATGACATCATTTGTCACTTATACTAAAAGGCTCAGCAAAAATATGCATTTAAAGTTGAAGCTTAAGAGGAGCAATTGGCAAGAAATTGATCTCGGTATCCTACTTAAAATACTAGTCTTCCTTTTTACTTGGGTGATTTGGACAAGCTGCATACCATGAGTAAGTCATGTCATTCAATAGATGCTTTTTATCGTTCTGTTCCAGGTTAATAATATTTTTATTCTATATTGAAATACTTATTTCTGATAAACCTGTGGAATTTGAAAATATTCTGGTAATCCACAAGTATATGGCCACATTCAGAATAGAAAACTTAATGGTTGCTTCTCTCTTTTTCCCAACTGCAGTCAAAACTTTTCCCATGTCTTTTTTCCTTCCAAGATCAGCTTACATCTTGTTATCGCATGCGTTTGATTAAAAGGCTGCCATAGCTTGTTCCTGATGCAAATATCTACGTCCAGTTTATTTGAATAATTTCAATTGGACTTGTTTTTCTTTCTGCTTAATTTTATGTAACATTTTTAGAATGATGCAAATTTGTTTCTTAACGTCTGTTAGATGTGATTATCTTTAGTTTTGCAGATAGAATATACTAGCCAGTGTTTCTTGTTGCAACAACGGCAGCCATCATTGTGAGTCAGGCCACTAACTGCAACTTTTTCCATTATTAAGCAAGACCTTGTTCATGGATGTGTCGCGGGAGTTAATGTTGTATATATATTCTAGATATCGTTTGGGTCCTTACTATTGTTTGCATTGCTGTTGCTTCTGGGTTTGAAAATCAAAATCCGATTGAAAAAGCTTATGGTAATTTCTCCCCTTGTTGAATGTTCTGATTAATATTATCCCAGTATAAACCATACCCATGATGTATATTTTCAATTTGAGGGTAGATAATAAGACATATATGCGTCCCAAAATGATCTTAATGGCAGATTATATTGTAACCTACATCAACATTCTTTTGCATTTTTGCCATAATAAATAAAAGATTAACACACTAGCATTGTGATGAGACTATGTTATATTAGTGTTTTTAAGTAGTTTTTATAGTCTTTTAGCTATATTTTTAATTAACATTGCATGATTTTGAGTAAATTATAGCAGGAGTCAAGGCAATTGTGTAACTAACTAGACAGCTCTGTGTGTACATGGTGGATGTTACTTTGGAGAGAGACAAAGCAAGAAAGGCACACAAAAGAATGAGGAAGGAAGAAACACTGTAAAAATCGCCTCCCAATCAGATGGGACCGTGGCGTGATGCATGCCAAAGCCAAAAGGAAAATAATTATGTGATAATCGCAGTGCGATGGATTGAGATTGTGGCGCAATTCAGCATCCAATCGCGCGCTGCCAAGTGGATTAAATGACAAATCACAGCACAATGGTTTTGGATCATGGCATGATTCAGGCGTGCTGAAACCTACACTATATAAGGAAAACTTGGAAATAAAATAATCCACTTGGCAGTGCGCGATTTTTAGGGTTTATAAAATATAGGGGTACCAACACTATGTTAGTGTTTATTAAATAATCTCTTAAAGAGTTATCTTAATCTCTCAAGAGGAGTTCACTCACATCGCAATGCTGCTTATAGATTTGCTTTCCGGACCACAATTACTACTATTCTTATAATTTGTATATATACTTCTAATTTAATATGTTTATGATTCTTTCTGAAGTTCTATTTTTATTTTGCTCCCTCTCATTTTCTTGTTATGAAATGCTCTTCATTATTTAAAATTATCAATTGTAGTAGTGTAACATTCTCTGATGCTATAACATGTAGTTTCTATTGCAATGTTCTCCAGGTATGTGTCTATTAAGAAAAGGGAAAACATCAGCATAGTTGCATCATGGCTAACTCCCTAAATTTCCACTATTTTACAAAGCCATAAAAGAGCCCCACATGTTGATTTAGAAATGTATTAAATTTAATGATTGAATATAAAGTTTAGATTGATGAGTGGTGTTTGAAATGTGGTTGTAATTGGTTTTAAGAATAAACTCATCCAATCCCAAAATTTATATATAAATAAAGTTGCAATAGTAAAATAAAGCACAAACGGGTTACTTGAATTGATCTAGTGAATGATACATATGAATGCAAGAAAAGAAAGATTCTTGCTAATTACTAGCTACTAATACTGAGAGTTCCCTTCCCTGTAGCTACTTGGAGAGGAGTTGGATTTGCCACAAACCTTGAAGAAAAAGCACAGAACTTATAATAATAATCCTCATCCAATAAGCTTCCACAGTCACTAGTGTCAAAATTCAAAGAATAGCTCAAAGGATCATAGCAACATTGAAACGAACCTTGTCTGATTCGGCTACGTGATCTCTTCATGAGAAGTTTTCTCATCAGTTTTGTCATTGAACAGCAACATGATGAAGATGTTGAGGATCTTGCAGTGGCCACAATGACAGGTTCATCTTTCATCTTCATGGTGGTGGTGGAAATGGTGGGAGTGTTGTTTTCAAAACTCATAGGCCAAATTTTTTGATGAGTGTAAGTAGTTATCCTCAACCATTGTGTGGGGGTTAATTGGTATTTATATAGAAATCTGAGGAATAATAGTTAAATATTAATAAAATATATTAATGCAAATCTGTTGATAGATCTCAACTTAAAAAGAAAAAATAATAATATATTAATATGGGGAATAATATTAATTTACTATATAAGTTGGGTAATTGACTGAAATGTACATGAGGCACGTGAGCACTATAATTAGCATAGATTTAAATCTGTATAGATGAAACTCAAGTGATAATTGATTTTGTTATTGTGAAAATGGTAAAGCTTGATTTGATAAAAGATGTTAATAATGGCCTCAACCAAACCATTGACGGCAGAACTCGGTGCATATGGTACGTCATGTTCTGTTCTCTCTTTTTTTCTCCCTTGGTTCATTTTTTCTTATTTATTTCAAAACAGATTTCATCATTTTAGAAAAATATATATATATTTTTTTAAGTCATCCATAGTCAATTTGTAATAAATATTGGACTCAATTTAAAATATGAATTAGGGTATAAATATGTACATTTGTTTCTTTATAAATTAAGTCATCCATAGTCAATTATAATAATTAAACATATCTTTTCTAAATACTCACGGTTGGATTTGATCAGGTCATGTAACCGTCCCAATTCATTGCAACATATCTTTTCAATAAATTAATAATATAATTAAATGTTATGTGTGTTATTGACTCTTATTTTTTAAACATTTTTAATTGATTATAAATAAATCTATTTGAAAAATTTTACATATAAAATTTCTTTTACACATTTATTTTCTTTTAAATTTTTAATTTTTCTCTCACAATTTCATCACATTACTCTTAATTTTTAAAAATTTTCATTTGCCTTTATTTGATAATATATTGGGTTATTAATTAATTTGTTGTCTTCCATTTGAGAAAATTTTGAAAAATCTCTTGTAAAAAAAATTTAGATTCCCACCCTAATGGTAGAACCACTCTCAAATGGCCAAAAGTTTAAATAATAACATGTCCTCTAATAGTAGAATCACTCTCAAATGGCCGAAAGTTTGAAAAATAGCACGTCCTCTAATGGTAGAATCACTCCTAAATATAGACACGGTCTTTCAATGAAGGTGTTCGTCTCAAAGTCTATTGCAAATCCTGGTAAAAAAATATTAGAAGTGCAAATTTTGAAGGAATGAAAAGACTATCGGTTGTTTTATTAAGATGATGAATATTTTAGCTCTATTGATAGGAAGAGAATCGAGGAAGATGATGATGATAGTAGTAGATGTGACATCGTGATAAAGTATTTGAGGAAATTTGGAACGGATTTTGGGAAGAAATTTAGAAGAGAATTTGGATTAAAAGTGTGTTCCAATTAGATATGAAGATATGAAGAGTAAGTTAAAGAGCACAAGGAAGAAGTTGACTTTTTTAGTTGTAATGCTTATTTGTTTTTGAATTTATTTTGTCATAGTCGTAGTAGTTTAATAATTATATTTTTATTGTTTTAAATTATATATCATGTATTTAAAATTAATTTTAATTATCATTTTAAATTTTATATTTATTTATTTATATTAATTAAAATTTAAATTATTATTTTAAATAAAATAAAATATAATATAAATAATATATTAATATATTAAGTAAAGTTGTCGAATTTAATATAAATTCTTTAGAATTGCAAAATTAAATAAATTACTTCAAAATAATGTGTTTTAATGTGTCTCACAAGAAATCCAAGAATAAGTTACAACATTAGAGATGTTCTAACCAAACATTTTGTGATCCTTATTCATAACGTTTCTCTCAATTGCGTCAACAAATTCAAATATAATATGAGAATAGATTCTATCTAAAAAGTGTCAACTTTAAAGTGCTCTACATTTCTATAAAAAATGCTCTCTCTCTTCCATATTTGCTGTATAAAATCATCTAAATTTTTAAATGTATGAAATTTTTTTGCTTTTGAGAGGGACACAAAGGGATGGATCTTCATAGAGGTTGAAATGAAAATATAAATATATTTCGTGATATCATGATAGAGTTAGAGTTTAATCTAATTTAACTCTATAAAACTAGCTGATAAAAAAAGTATGTCACTCTATATAAATTATTTGTAAACTGTATCTTTAACTAATGGGAAATTTGAATTTTTTCTAATATAAACCAATCAACCATTAATGAGATGGCAATTAATTTTACACGTGGTGCTTGCTTTGCCTCTAGTACTAATTAAACTAACAATTGGGACGATTTTGTCTATGATGAAAGATTCAATTCCTACTCGTCTGATCCTGGAAACGATTTCCTTAATCTCTTTTGGCTCCGTATAATAAGTGTCAACAACTTGTAGAGGGTCAGAGTCAACTTTTATCTGGTTTTTGGACTTCTCCCCGAATTTGAGCCTTCCCTCCAGGATAGCATTCTGAACAAGATCCCTGAAAAGAAAACATTGAGAGCTTTTATGACCCAAGTAATTATGGTATTTACAAAATCCTCTTTTCTTTCTTTGATCTAAAGGGCACATTTTAGCACCAGGTGGTACTATCATTTGCCCATCTTTAACTAACAAATCAAAGATTTCTTTACATCATGTGACGTCTTAGGAAACCTATCATTTTTTTTCTGATTAAGCTGGGTTCTTCCCATTTGAAGGTGCTAAAACCTTGCAAGGATAGGACGAACCTTTTTTCAATTCAGCGAGATCTAATTCATTCTCATCGAAACTCATAGGCTCACTGTAAGGCCCTTCGTCCTCTTCATTAAATTCGACATTGACTATTCTTTTATTCTTATTTGCCCTAGCCTTTTCTTCTTTCAAAATTTCTAACTGTCGAACCCTATCGGCCAACTGGGCCATATTCCTCAGGTATTGAGTATCTAATTTCTTCCTGATAGAATAATCTAGGCCGCCAACAACCATTTTGACTAACTCATGTTCTGGCGCTCGTGTGAAACACCATACCTTGAGAAGTCAAAACCTATTCAAATAATCGTCTATTGGCTCAATAAAATTTCGTTTTATACTAGCCAATTCCTTCAAACTGATCTTTGTTTGTCTCATGTAGAACTGATCATGGTACAAACGTTTTAACTAGGTCCAATTATGAATAGAATTCGGAGGTAGGGTTGTGAACCAAGTGAAAGCGTTCTTTGTAAGAGAACTTGGGAAATATTTTACCCTAAGATTCTCATCATTCGAAAATTCTCATGCTTCTATCAAACATCTAGCCACATGTTCGATAGTGGACTCAATAGTATCCCTAGAAAACTTAGTAAACTTAAGAACCTTTGTTCTTAGGGGTAAATTTGACTGAAGGATGTAGTCAAATAACGTTGATGTATAATTTGGCCGTCGAAGGCCAAAATTTACTCTGCTACGTGCTATGATTCTTTCAACCATGGCAGCTAAGTTATTATCTGCTAATAGGTTGTTACGTCGAACTTGTTGTACAATGTTTTCAGCATCCTAGTTCCTATTTACCAAAACTACCCTTGGTTCTTCTTCTCTAGGAACTTGCGGTTGATTCCTAAGGGGTTCGACTCTAGGTCGTTCGATCATTCCCTGGTTGTTTTGATTTGCCTGGGATATATTTCCCAAATTTTGTTGAATTTGGTCAATGGTGGTATCTTCGTCGAAAACTACCCCTGGATTTTCTATCATATACTCCCTCGGTGGTTGTCGAAGGGGATTTGGTACACCAAAGAATTCTACAAGGCATTTCCTTTGCGCTGCTAATTGTTGATTAGTTTGGGTAGTATTCTAAATAAGGGGCAGAAAAATTTCCCCCATAGTTTGGAACATCATTTGGACCATTTGAAGGTTACTCTCGTCCATCTGTTGTCTTAAGTATGATGCATAACTGGTTGTCAAATTTGGCATTTGGGCTGAATACCCTAATCCTAAAGTTTGACTATTTCGACTCATATTTGCCACAGAGCCTGATCCTTGTAATGGCGAAGTCATTACGGGTTCTGTATATAATGGAGGGGCGTTTTGTAAGTTTGCCATCATCGAAGTTGGCATCCCATAGGGTGGGTCTTGAGGCAGGGGTACTAGAAACACAGGAGGAGGGACGCTTCTGAATGCTAAAACCCCTATTGGTGGTGGAGTCTGTGGAGGATCCCTTGGCTCAATATAAGTCAGAATGGGTTGCGTATGGACAATCAAATGTGTAGGTATCGAACTTCCTATAGATGGTATTGCTTCAGAGACAGGCGCTGAGACCGTTGATCCTCCTGTCGAAGATCCTATGGGTTGTTCTACATTGTTACTAGGCATGTCCTGAGGAATATTTGGTTGACTAGAATTTGCCGCCATTCTCCTCCTATATCTTCTCCTTGTTTTATCTTCGTTAGCGGTGACTACTTTACCACTTCTTAATAACATGCAACAAAGTTTTCAAAGAGAAAGTTGACTGCAGAACTAATAAATTTTCAAACAATTTTGAAGCAAGTTTAATGATCACTTAGCACTGTCCCATTGGGCGTGCCAATTTGTTCGTCGTGAAAATTGGTGAACAACCGCTGGTCTTCCAAATCAAAAAAGATTTGTTTTACTTGCAGGATCGACCACACAAATCCTAGGACATGTGCTAATTGATCTTAAATAAAGTTTAGAAAAATGATGAACACTTCGACAGAGTTCATGATAAAATAACTTATTTCAAATGTAAATGGAATTGAACAAGAAGGATTCAAGTCGAAAGTCTGGTAAAAAATATAGAAAGTAACTTGCATAAAGAAAGGATAAATTTTTAATGAAAAAGATTTATTGAATTGCATTGAAATGTAAAAAATGGTGTTACATCAATGTACATTCTCACAAACTCGTTTCTCTACACACAGGTACTTGAAGTATATTGAAGAATTTGTACACAATTGAACACACACAAATCCTAACACTAAGACTTTCTATTTATAATAATCGGAAATAACTGTCATTAGTGGCTAGCAAACTAAATCGAGACAACTGGCACTCTGCATGTCTTTGATTTCTAAAAGCGCTCTACATATCTTCTTTGAGAAATGGATAAGAACGAACTTTCCCTCCTTTATTATAATTCAAATCTTCCTGTCGAAATGCCTTCAATAACGCCTCGGCCGAATCGAATTTTCCAACTGTTAAAAAATATTTCTAAGTCCGTAAAATAGTTTCTCCTGACAAAAGGACGCCTTCGACTCACATTCAAAAAATATGGCTCCGGTCGAAGTCCTCTGATTTTCCAAGAAATTCTATTATTTCCTTCTAATCCAATTTAGGCGTCGAAATTTAGAGCCAACAGTGGCACATCTCAAAACTCTTCTTTTATTTTTTTATATGAACAAAAATTATATGTATTATCTATTGAAGGTCATGGGTTCGAATCCTCACAAAGACAAAATACATTAAACTAACAATTTACTTTATTTCACATCACTCATAATTCTATATGACATAATTCAAAACTCTTCTTAATTTCTCAAATGGACAAAAATCACATGTATTAGAGGTCATAAGTTCAAAATTCATATCTAACACTTAGTTATTTACTAACTTTGATATATTATTTTATAAACTTTATAAACACTATTTACATTTTTTTCAAGATTTTTTCAATAATATAAATGTGATAAAAGAAATGACGATTACAACACTCTTAATTCATATTAAAATATAATCGAGTATACAACACTCTTTTACTGTATTGATATATTTCATTACTACATTCTTCATATTATTTTTTCATGAAAATATAAAATTTTTCTAAAGTGATATAGTTTACTAAATACTTAGTTTTATAATAACGATCATATGAATATACTAAAAAATAGAGAAAGTAATGATTAAAATAAGAACTCTCATATTTAAACTAATATAAAAAAAAAAAACTTTAAATTTTCTTATCTCTTTTTTTGTGAGTGATTTAAGTAGTGACAATATTATCATTTTTATTAAGAGACAAAAATTGTTTTCATTTTTTTTTAGTGAATATATAATTTATATATGTATATAACTTATAATAATATGTGATTTCGATGTATTGTAGATATACAATTTGTATAAATATACAACATTATATATGAAATGGAGAAATAACATAAACAAATCAAATTTAATTAGAGGAATAGAAGATGATAAGTCATAGAATATGAAAATAAAAGTGTTTTATTAAATAAATTCTTATAAATGAAACATTATACTCTCAATTAAATAATAGAAAATTTAGAATGTTATGTTTTAAAAAATGACATATGATATTTAATGATGTGACGAATAAGAAAATAAATCAATAATAAAATAATGTGAAATTTAATTTTAATATATTATAATAGATAAATTATATTCGATAGAATATGGTATATAAAATTATTTCTTATAATTTTTTCCATCTAAGAATTTTTCATGAAATGAAAGGTGATCGAATAAGCCGTTACGGTAACTATATTTGAAAGGTTTGTGTCTCAATGTTAGATCCTTTTCTTTCTCATTTTTTTATTCCTTATTACAATTCTCATTGTTGCTTTCTGATTCCTTGCTTCACTTTAATATGGCATTAACCAAAGCAAAAAGAATCTTAATCTATGCAAAACCAAAACTGTACAAAAGAATCTATGTTCTATAAATGTTGTCCTAGGCGTCCAATTAAATAAATAATCACACAAGAGTTTCATCATATAGGTAACAACTATATTTTTATTGATCACAACACAAATATTTATATATATAAGTCTAACATTTCAGATTTTTTTTCTTGCAAGCTCTAATTAATATTTCGAGAATCCAACTATATAAACCATGGAAGCCTTGAGTGTAATCTGGGACTTTGCTAAAAGTTTGTTCAGATGCACAAACGCACAAGTTGCCTATGTTTATAAGCTGCAAGAGAATCTGGAATCATTGATGGAAAAATGGGAAGATCTTGAAAACAAGAAAAAGGACGTGCAAACAGAAATCGATAGAGCTGAGAGCACAGGAGTCATGAAAAGATCAAATGAAGTGATTGGTTGGTTACATGAATTTCAAAAATTTGAAGAGGTATGTTTTTATATGACTTTAATTTACAACATATTGAATTTCAAATTTGGAAATGGGTAAATATAACTTATTGTCCACTCAATTAGTTACATGTAAGTTTATTTCAACTTAAATTATATTTCATGTATGGAAAGCAATTTATTAAAAAATAAACATGATTATATTCAAGAAACAATTATGTGCATATAGTGCGCTTAAGTTTGTAAGTAATCGAAGTGGTTTGATCCCTCAAAACAAACTTTTTTGGAGAGGGATGAAACATTTTAATTAGAGACCTAAGCACCATAGCAGAGATTTGGAGCAAAGCTTGTTGGGTTATCACGTAAACCCAATGGGATGCTAAAGTTTTAGTTATAATGAGATTTTTTCTAGATTTTCTACCTACCTCATATGTTCCTCACTGTGTATTTCTAACAGAAAATGAAAGACATTCCCAATTCTCAAGAAGTTCAAAGTAAACAATGTTTGAATGGTTATTTCTCAAAGAATTGTGTGTCAAGCTACAAGTTAGGGAAAACAATTGTTAAGAGGCTCAATGATGCAAATGGTATGCTTGCTAGAGTTAGAGCTGGTAATATGCAGATTGCTCTCAAGCAACCACCTAAACCTATAGATGAGATGCCTTTTAGCGAGACTATAGGATTAGACTTTATGGTCCAAAAAGTGTGGAATTCTCTTGAGGATGACACTGTTGATGTAATTGGTTTATATGGAATGGGTGGGGCTGGGAAAACAACCCTTATGAAAAGAATTCACAATGAATTAGGAACAAGAGATCATAGTTTTGATCTAGTGTTATGGGTGGTGGTTTCTAGAGATTGTGATGTCAATAAAATAGGGAATGACATCCACAAAAAATTAGGAATTGATGAATTTTTTTGGAATACTAGTACCCATGAACAAAGAGTAGCAAAGATTTATGACCGATTGAAAGGAAAAAAGTTTTTATTGATGTTAGATGATTTGTGGGGAAAGCTAGAACTAGAAGCAATAGGAGTTCCTGATCCGGAAAAAAATAACAAATCAAAAGTAATGTTCACAACACGATCTGAAGATGTGTGCGGTAAAATGCAAGCTAAAAAGAAACACAAAGTAGAATGTTTATCAGAGAAAGATGCATTTGATTTGTTTTGTAAGAAAGTAGGCGATGAGACTTTAAAATGCCATACAGAGATCCGAAAGCTAGCACATGAAATGGCTAAAGAATGTGGAGGATTGCCGCTAGCATTAATCACTGTGGGAAGTGCCATGGCTGGAGTAAAAAGCTTTGAAGCTTGGATGGTTGCGAAAAATAATTTGAGGAGTTCTTCTTGGACAGCCTCAGATTTAGAGGATAAAGTTTTTCGTATCCTCAAGTTTAGCTACGATAAACTTCCTGATAAGGCACATAAAAATTGCTTCCTATACTGCGCACTATACCCAGAAGATTTTGAAATAGACATGGATGATCTTATTGATCGATGGATTGCTGAGGGATTTCTTTGTAGAGATGATACGAGTATATTTGATATGTACATCCAAGGGAAGTCAATTATTGAAAAATTAACACTTTCATGCCTATTAAATGAGAGTATTGACATCGAATCTTTCTGTTATCTTGAGAGGATTAATAGGACAGTTAAGATGCATGATGTGATTAGAGATATGGCACTATGGTTAGCTCGAGATGAAGATGAGAACAAAGACAAAGTCGTAGTTCAGGGGGAAGGTTTTTCCATTTCAGAAATAGATTCTAAAAGATTGAATTCTATAGAGAGGATTTCAATAATAAATGATAAAAGTTTTTTAGAAGAATTCTATCTACCAGCTTGTCCAAATCTCATCACTATTTGTTTTAGGTCTCAGCGGGTTTCCATTTTATCAAATTTGCAATTCCTAAAAAGGTTGAGAGTGTTGGATTTATCATATACTAGATCTCTTGAGATAATCTCCCCTGAAATAGGTGAGTTAATCAACTTGGAGTTCCTTAACATTTCAAGAACATCAGTATCTTCGGTTCCCATTGAACTCAAGAAGTTGAAAAATTTGAGGGTATTCCTTATGGAATATATGAAAGGCTTTTCTAGTAATATTTTTCCATTGGCAGTTATAGAAAGTCTTGAACAATTAAAAGTGTTTAGATTTAGTAGAAGCTTCGTCAATGTAGAAGACGAGATATCATTACTAGAGGAGCTGGAAGCCTTACTAAAATTGGAGGAACTGACCATCCAATTAACTGACATCACAAGTATGCAGAGACTATTTAACTCCACCAAATTACGAGGTTGCTCTAGATGTCTTCAGCTTCATTACAGTGGAGTGGACAATAAGGAACTAGACACAGTTGAAATGTCATCATTATTAGCATCCATGTCAGAAATGACTCATTTGGACTACATACTTCTTTTTGGGATGCACAGTCTCGTGGATGGTTCAATGGTTACTAACAAATTCCATCTTGGCAAGCTTCGACAAGTGCGCATATTTATTTGTGATTCAATTACTCATTTGTCCTGGTTGAGGTATGCTCCGTTTCTCGAGTATCTTGTTGTTTATGCTTGTATTTCAATTGAACATGTGGTTAAGGAAGCTAAAGATGACGAAGATGTTGGCTCTGAGTCTATGAATGATAATATATTCACAAATCTTAAAGATCTTTGCCTTCATAATATGCCAAAGCTATTGAGCATCCACAAAAAAGGTTTGGCTTTTCCTTCCCTACAACGTATTCGTGTAACTAATTGCCCCAATCTGAGGAAGCTTCCTTTCAATTCCACCTTTTCTTCAAAGGACAACTTGGTTGCAATCCAAGGAAGTACAGAGTGGTGGGACAATTTAGAGTGGGATGACACATTTATTCAACACTTTCTACGTCCTAAATTTCAACATAACAAGGGCATGGGCATAGAATTTCTAGATTGGTACTTAAATCGATAGTGATGTAAATCTTATATCATAAACAAGTATGTGTCTATATTCTGATTCCGATTTCATTTCTGCTCATTGTTGATTAACAAGGCTTTATGTGTTCCTTTCTTCTCCATTTTCTTTGATGGTTTTAATTTATCGCTACTTTATACTACTTAATCTGGCCTATGCGTTGTTGCTTATATACAATTTCATGTGATCTACCTGGCAAATCTTTGTTATACTGTTTTATCTAGCTCCATCTAAAATCAGACACATATCTGTGTGATGGTTGTTAGAGAGATATTTGGCATCATTGATTTTGATTTTGTGCTCCCAAACAAGGATTTTTTAAGCTACTGTTGAAATGTTTAAATTATTTAATGAGTGGTTTTGATGAAATTAGTCATGTATGAATTTGTACCTTGTTAAAATTGAATTTGTACCAAAGTGATGAACACAACTCTATAAAAAGAGAAGAAAAAGATGAATCTCAATCTATTATTGCACACAGTCTAATAGTTATAAGAAATGGATTCTAGCTTATATAGTAAGTAAGTGCAACTTAGGAATAACTTACAAAGCCTAACAGATTCACAAGTTAGTTAAATTTTTTTATGAAAATTGTAATTTGATGCTAACTAAATTACTCTAGTTCCAAACACTTTGCCATACGTGTCATTACCAGGGCCGGCCCAATCAATCTGGAGGCCCTGTTTTAATTTAATAAATAGGCCTAAATCTAAAATATATATATAATTTAATAATAAAAAAATACACTAAAAATTCAAAGTATTGTTTAAACTAATAATATCTTTTTATACAATATAAAGTTTCTAACTACTTAAAAAGAGCCTTCCTCCTAACACTTTTTGAAGCAAATTCATCAACCAAATCTTCATATTTTACTGTCTCCAAAAGATCATTTTCAACTGCTATCAACGCCAATCCGTTAAGTCTTTCTTGTGACATGGTAGACCGCAAGTAAGTCTTTAACAACTTTAATTTTGAAAAGCTTCTTTCTGCAGAAGCAACTGTCACAGGAATAGTCAACAAAATTCTATATGCAATAACTGTATTAGGAAAACAATCCAAGCCTTTTGAAAATAATAATATATCAGTAGGTCTTATGATTTCTTCAGGCAACATTTGTCTTAGTAACTTTAATTCCTCAAAAAATTCATTCCCGTCAATGTCAGATTGCTCATTATGTTTCAGTACTCGTTCAAAGTTACTACAAAAAGACTTCAAAGTTGCATCATCCAATGATTGTAACTTGTGAGAAGTAAACAAGAAACCAAAAATACTTTCATACTCTTGGTATTGCTCAAATCTCTTATTAAGAGAAACAACAGCTTGATCAACAAGGTAAAGAAAATAATTAACCCTGAAAGATTCCTCTTCAGATAGCTCGACTGCTGGTGTATTCAAATTCTCATCAAACTGTCTTTTTCTTTTAATTATACGCCTTTGAGGAAATATTGGAGCGATATTCAATTCAACCGCAATTTCCTTAGCATTAACCAATGCCTTATGAAAACCTGTTTCTCTATATCCTTCAAAAAATGAAATCAACTCCTTTATTTTTTCCATAGCAACATCAATAAGCATATCCTTTTCCTGTAAAAGCTTGCTAACAAAATTAATTGCAGATAATATTTCAAACCAAATAATTATAGCCATCAAAAATTCAAAATCACCAAGCTCATTAGTTGCTAAGGATTTAGCTTCATTTTGTATCTTAGGATCGAGATCATGTTCTGACACTTCAAGTAAAGCTTCTGTAAAATCTGACATTTGAGTTCTTATAGCTTTGACACTTTCAACACGACTTTCCCAACGAGTGGATGATAATGATTTTGGAGTCAACCCTTTTACATTATCTTTCAAAATTTGCCATCTCTTTGTTGAATTAGCAAAAATTGTGTAAATGCGTTGAACAACTCCAAAAAAATTCCTAGCTTTATTACAAGAGTTAGCCATATCACACAATGTCAAATTAAGACTATGACAACCACAAGGAGTATAAAAAGCTCTTGGATTTATGTCTAAAAATCGCTTTTGTACACCTTGATGTTTTCCTTTCATATTTGACCCATTATCATAACCTTGTCCTCTTACATCAAATAGGTCGAGACCAAGTTCTTTCAATTCATTTTGTAAAACATCAAAAAGCCCTTGACCAGTTGTATCATTCACATTCAAAAATCCTAAAAATGATTCCTCAATGCTAATAGAAGTTGAAGAAACATCCACATATCTTATTATCAAAGACATTTGCTCTCGGTGACTAACATCCGGAGTACAATCAAGTATTACTGAGAAATACTTTGCTTGTTTGATTTTTCTAATGATTTCAATTTTAATTGCAGAACCAAGTAATGAAATCAACTCATTTTGTATTTTATGTCCAAGATAATGAGTGTGAACTTTTTGAGTTGTAACACGTCTAACATGTTCTTGGATAATTGGGTCAAATTCAGCTAACATTTCAATCAAACCCAAAAAGTTGCCATTGCTATCTTCGTACAACTTTTCCTTAGAACCACGAAATGCCAAATTATGTTTAGCAAGAAATTTCACTATTGAAATAACTCTTTTTAAAACATTTTTCCAGTGATCCTTTTCTTTCTCAATTAATCTTTGAGTCGTTTTATCAATAGTTTGAAATTTCTGCAACCTTTGACGATACTCATACCAAGTAGTCATATTCTTAACATGTTCCATGCCTAACTCGTGCTCTTTAATTCTTGCACCAACATGTGACCAATCACTATAACCCTCATTTGCTAATTGTCCCCTACCAATCCCATTTTTTAAAACTTTACAACAGAAACAAAATACTCTATCAAGCTCTTTTGAATAAACACGCCAATCTCTATCACACTTCTCTCCATTTGCTAAAGCTCTAGTATACAAATTAGTCGTAAAACGTCGATTCCAATTATCTCTAGGACCCCTCACAATAGAATTATCCCGTTTAGGCCCTTTCATAACTAATAAATCAATCATTTTAGGTTGAAGACGATCCCAATTTCTTGGATCAAATATATCGTAATCAACATCATCATCATCATCATCATCATCATTAACTTCCTCAAGATTATCATCATCATTATTAACTTCATCATCGATAGGTACACTATCAGCATTATCATTTTCAATAGGCACACTATCAACATTATCATTTTCAATGGGCACACTATCAAGAATTTCAACATTAGTATTATCAACATAATGACTTTCATTTGGAACTTGTGGTTCTTTTATCAAAAATTTATCAAGAGCTCCTGCTTGAGATTGAATTAACTCTTCAATTTTTTTCCTTTTCTTACGTTTATCATTTCCACATTCATACTTTCTATTCTTAGGAGGCATAATAGGAGGCATAGTAAAAAAAAACCTGGAATATCTCACAATGTCTTGTGTCCGCCAATGATCAACTCTGCAATATTTACTAGCAATCGATCTATTTGTAGCCTCGTTGTTAAATTAAGTTCCTACAATAAATTATTAATTAGTGCAAGCAAAAATAGTACCAGAAAAAAAAAACATGTTTGTAATCATCATAAAATGGGATTATTATTTATTAATAATACTTTAATTATATTATCACTATTTTTACTAACACTACTATGAAATATACAGAAAATAAAATGCTCCAAAATTAATTATTTTTAATTTAATCTTACTGTTGTTGATATTTTCTATTACAATTAATTCTAAATTTTAGATTCTATCATAAACTATTGTCTATTGAGATAATTGAATGAGTCACACACATAGAAATGACATACTCTTGACACAACAATATAAAAAGCACTTCTTTGACAGCTTGCAATCTTTCTATCACACTTCTTTGACAACTTGCAACCTTTCTACTTTTCAATTAGTTTTTAATATGAACTAATCAAAACTCAAAAGTATAAAGTAATAAAAAAATACAAAATAATCTCATAACTCATTATTCTACTTATACCATTTATTTGACAGCTACTACTCGGCACTCACTATTCTCTATTCATTTCTCCATCTCTATTCTTTTCTTCTTTCTTCTTTGAAACCTAACTTAACCCATTTCTTCTTTTCTTTTTACAGTAAAATTAACTCAACCAATTTTAGAATTTTAGGAGAAAAAAAACACAATAGAGCCATGGGAGAAAGAATCATAAACCAAGAAACACATACAAGTTTCTATCTATGTATGTTCTTTCTTTAATTTTATATTTTTTTTCTTTCAAAACATGAAGATAAACTACTTTGATTTGAACAAACTTACCGATTAAACTGCACTGCCGTCGTCTCACACTCTCACCGTCGCCGTTTTGTTTTTTTCTTTCTAATATTGTTTTGTTTTTGGTTTATTATGTGATGTATATAAACAACTTTGTTTTGGGTTTCTTTAATGCCGACGTTTCATTTTCCTTGGCGTCTTTTCGGTTTTAGGTTGCGTTTGGAATGAGGAAAAATAATATATATTTTAAATTTTTTCATATTAATTAGATTTCAAAAAAAAAAAAAATAGGCCCCCAAAATTTTGGGGCCCAGTTCCATAGAGCCTGTTGCGCCTGTGAAAGGCCGGCCCTGGTCATTACAATCAACTATGGCATTACAATTAACATTCCCTTAATTTAGAATATAAGTCCATCATTCATAACTTGTCTTGTAAGCTATTAAAAGAATTGGATGTAGAGATTTAGTTAAAATGACTGCCACTTGTTCTTTAGAGATCTTGTATACAACTCCGACCTGCACCCTGTCAAGAACTACATATCAAGTTTAATGTGTTTTGTTCTTAAATAGAAGATGTAACATTCTAAATCTTAAAACACTTATTTTATAAAAATATACAGAATAATACACTTAATTTATAAAGCTACTCAAAAAGAGTGTCACATCTTTTTTCTAACATAAAATGTTTTACTCAAATTTTTAACCAAAACAGTGAGGAACTCGAAAACATCAATTCTACTTAATTGGCTCATAATTCAAAATGACTTCATGTCAAAAATATGAAGAAAATAATTCAA